CTTACTGTAGCTTCGCATTTTGTTCACTATGTGAGAATTAAATGATTAAGTCAGTGACCTGTAGTAACCAAAGGCTGAGGTTAAAGTAGATTAGTGAGTTAAGCAGCCATGATTCCTTCATAAACCTGAATCTGCCACCTCCTGCTCCGGGCAAAGAACTCCAACTTATATCTTCCTCTCTGTAAGAAACTGTAAAGGTTTTATTTTTCCTGCTTGAGTTGCCATTATAGAGATATGTTGTATTAATAATTGTAGTGAGTTGCTGTCTGTAATAGTTCTTGAAGACCTTAGTGGAAATCAATGCAGCTATCTAGTTCTGTATCAGGTAAACTGATTGTTCATGTAGAAAGAAGAGCTCTGGAGATGGTGATGCAGGAAAACCTATATATCCACTGGCAAGGACATGGGTGCAAAAGCTGCAGCTAATAGCACTTTGCTACATTTGAAGTGGCAATCTATCTGGGAGCATTAATGGGTCAGAAGTTGTAAAACCTGACATGAAGAATGATATGAATAAAGGAAGATTTGGAGCATTCTGCTGCTTCCCCTCCCCCATCTCCCATAGGTATGATGAGAGACTGGTTGCAAACACTGATATATCTCTAAAGCTAGGTGACTACCTTGACTGCCCTGGTACTTTACCTTGCAGCAGTCAGTGAAGTCAGATCTTTCACACTGTCAAGTCTAGCAAGAAGAAAACATAAGGCTTTATTAGGGAGCAAATGAGACGAATATGCTACTCTGTGAACCTATGAACCTGTGATCTGTCATGCTTTGAATAGTTATCACTCCTGCCTTTTGTTGCTCCCACCTTAAAGAAGGTACTGTAGGCCTGGAAAAATGGTAGAGAAATATGATAAGGATAATCAGAAGTATGTGGTGACTCCTGTTCTGGGAGAGATTAAGTAGTCTGTGATTCTTTCTCTTGGAAAAGAGATTAGACAGTTGTTAAAAATGTATTAAAAAGAATTATGCTGTGGAGTTTGTGATTAGGGAACCATCATTTATAGTGCTTTTATTTTTCTTTCTGTAGTCACAGAAACTGTGAGGAACACAGTATGGAAGATTTGAAATAAAATTAAATAATTGTTTATGCCATAGCTAAATACTGGAGCATACTGCTACCAGGCACTATTTATGCCAAAATTTAAAAAATGTTCAAGAGGTGTTTAGGCAAATCCATGGCAGAAAGTTTCATCAAGAGCTACGTAAAATAACATGCTGATAAAGCCTCTGATTCACTAATCTGTTAACTGCATATTATAGAAGACTGTGAGTGCATATTGTGTGTTTGCCTTATTATTAGGCTTCTTGCCCAAGCATCTGTTCTCGTTTATTCTGAGGCAAGATTTATTTTTTACCATTTTTCTGACTTAATGCTGCCATAATTATGTGCTTGTAGAGCTGATTTTTGGGTCTTCCCCCCAGCCTGCCCCCTTAAGGTCTCTTTCTAGGAGAGATTTTTCAATGTAGCAGCTGTTTGCCCTTTTTCACGTAGCAGACACCTATATGCCAGGGTGGTTCTCTGTAATGTCTGTATGCCTTTAAGACTAATTTTTAAGAGGTTGGCATGAGAGAAAATGTGATCTGCATACTATGGGTTTTTTTTTAAAAAAATATATCTGTACTTTATTTAGCTTTAAAAAGATGAAAAATGAAAACAGTCCAGAAACCCAAAGAAGTAAAACAAACGCTCCGTGGGAGGAAAATGGCCCGCAGAGGTAAGACAAGGCATGCTATCTTAGGTATTGTGCAATGGTAAATATTGTGCCACAGCAATAGATTGAAGGATGTTGATATAATATATTATTGTATTATTGGGGTCATAATAAATCTGTATAAGTAGGTAGGTTCTGTCATGGATAAATAATCAGTTAAAGAATAGGAAAGTATGCGTAGGAGGAGGTGGTCAGTGAATGAAACTCATGTGTGGCTTTCCACAGAGAATCTGTTCATAAACCTCTGGTATTTAGTATGTTTGTCAAAGACCCTGAAAAGTGGTGATTATTTGTTTAGGATAGTGAAAGTTGTCTGTGAGGAGTGGCAGAAAGATCCCTAAAGTATGAGTGATGGGTCAATAGATGGTGGAATCTATTGAACCAACAAGAGTAAAAAGAGGCACATGAAGGCAGAAAAATAACCGTAGATTTCTGGCTAATATGAAACGCTGTAGAATTACGATGGATAACTTAACGAAACACATCGATTGTGTAGGAGTCAGAAAAATTATTAGTAAGTATTAGGAAAGCACAAGAACTGCACTATGCCATTATATAAGCTCATGGATCAGATATGTACTCCATGAATTGTGAGAGCAGTTCAATGTTCTTATCTCAGGAAAAGGCTTTGAGAGAGGCAGCAGGAGTAATCACACAATGGTTGTGCAGGAAATCTGTACAAGGAGGAAGAGCATAGGCCAGGCAGGACTCTTCCTTCAGTTTGGAGAAGAGATTATTTCAGGAGAAATGTAGAAAATCATGAGTAGTACAAAGAAAAGAGAAAGAGATCAGGACTGTACTTTTCCAGCATAAGAACATGGGATCTTCAGGGAAAGCTATTGGAGGTGGTTTAAAAGTGTTGAGAAAGGCAGTGAGTACTGACCCATCATGAGTTTAAGATCTGTGGTTCTCCTTTACAAGGGACGCTGGAAGTTAGTGAATTCCTGGGATAAGCAGGGTGAGTCATGGAACAAAAATCCTGAAAGGCTTCTGAAGACAGAGGTACAGCAGCTAGCTCAGTAAGTCCCCTGGACTGGGAATAGTGGGGGACTGAGAGAGCACTGGAGAGTCCTCATACATCTTCAACTTTTTGCTTCCTGTAGTTGGTTGCTTACAGCTACTGTTGAAAACAGGCTACTGAACTAGAGAGCACATGAAATGTAGTCCAGTATGGTCCTGCTTTTCTGTTGTAATTCAGATCTATACCTTATGTGTCTTCTGGGGCACCATGATGACTTACTCTGTGCTCTGTCTGTAAACATCAATAGTTTTCAGAATGAGGACAAAGCAGTGCACAAGTATCCTCTTTCTAGGATAGACTTTTTTATTGTTATTTTTAAAGAAGTGGTGTCATGTTGTCACATTATGGCTCCAGTGTTTAAATTACTCCCAGAACAGCAGGAAGTTTGATCCTGCAGGAGCCAATGAATGGTAGGGTTGAGTTTTTGCAAGTCCATCCTTTCTAAAGGACTATGCAGTTTTAGACATATAAGCAGTTTGTATGTTGCACAGCATCTTTCACAACTTCTACTAATAACTATCATTGAGATGAACTGTGGGAACTTTTTTGCCTGTGCAGAGCAGTGCTGTAATCAGCTGTCTGCAGAAGCAGGTTAAGAAGAACATGTCCAATTTCATGGCCAGAGGCTTTTAGGAAAGCAGAAAGAAATACCTTAGGTGGAATTTGGTAATAATATAATGTTTTTACCACATAGTTTTGAAAGGGACTAAGTGATGTTAGATAGAGATGTGTGGTTGAGTTAATAACCTTCCTCCAAGAAGTAGTAGAACATCAATAGACCACCTCAGAGTGATATGTACACCATATCGGGCTCAGTTACACGGTTGGAAGAGGTCCTTACACTTCTGTAGGAAGGTATCACAGGATAACCCATTCAGGCATTTGGTACTCTACATCTAATTCAGTAGTAACCCAACACATTGAGTCCCACTCAGGGTAAAGTGCATAACCCAGAACTTGAAACACGTCCACACCTTTGGCAGAGGTTCAGGTGGGTGAGCAGCAGAGAGATGGAGCTAAAATTGTTTTATGTTCCCAAGCATCCTCTCTGTAATGAAGATGTATGTCATGACGGGAACATGAGATGTTTTTAGTTATATCAATGGAAAACATAAAGAACAGAGGTGCCTTTGAATGCCTAGCTCTGGGCTGGATAAGTCATACTAGAGCACAGAAATGTTACTAAAATAATACTTGGATCTACAGTTTGTAAGCTTAGAGCTGTTGGTTTAACAATGCTGAGAGGTCTCTCTCTTACATTTTCAAGGTTCAGTGTGAAATTTTTATTGCTAGAAAGCAGTACCATCTCTATTTACATAACACACACACAGTATAGCTGAACATGTACACAGGAGGGGTTTGTGTGAGCTTTCTTGTTTTTGTAAGTTGAATCTCAGATAGCTGGCCTAAGTGTCCTGAAAATTTTAAAGCTTACTGTTTGTTCTTCCTTTTTAACCCTAGTGGACTATATAATTCTCCCAATGACCGCAATAAATCACCAAAGTTTCCTTACTCTCGCCGAAGGAACCCATCAGGTGGCAGTGAGAATGAGTCTGGGCAGCCAATCCGGAGGAGGTAAGAGCCTTGGGGTTAATTACTGTCAGCTTCTCACTGCAGATATTTTGACGTCTAGCATGCTCTGTGTTCAGTAAAGGCTATTATAGGCACAGCTGGATCCTGGGAAAAGAGGTATTCTAGGGCCCACTTGCTAGTCAAAAAAGAAACCTGAGCAAGAATACCAGATCTGTTTCTGGAAAGAAAGCTTTGGCCAGGTTGTTTGCTTGTGTGCTATTCTGGGTACTGGGAAAACTATGTTAAAAATATGACAAATTGCATTATTGGCATGTGCAAGATCCTTTCAGCTGCTGCAGCTGTTTTTCTCTGGTAAAGGAAAGGACTGGTGGGTTTGGCTTGTTTGACAATGAGCTTCCAATACAAAGCGGTATTTTGTATTAAGTACATTGGTTTGTGTTAATGGCCACAAGGATTAAATGGATGAGTGATAAAGTTGTCTTCAACAGTGCCATATGTGAATGAGAGGACACCAGCAAAAACACAACTGTGTGATACTTACTCTGTTTTCAATTGGCATAGTCTGAACTGAGTAACTTAGAGAAGTAAAATTAAATGGATGGAGATTCTGTGCTGTGTGCCCTTGAGTATGTCCAAAATGCTAATTATGGGGACAGCAGAAGTGATACAATTTTGAGAGACTATGTGTTACCTGGGATTATTTGTCCTGCTGAGAAATTGCTTTCATCACTGAGATGCCCTGTCTGGTGCACTGCTTGGCTGTGAAGTATAAACAAGCACAGGTACTGTGCCATATTTGTTTCAGTCTTCTTAGACTGCCTTATGAGCCAGACCCTGAGAGTTACATCTCCTTCTGACATCTCTGAAATGACAACCTGTTTGGCTTTCAAAGCCAGGGTTTGCAGAGGGATCTCTGATGATGCAGCTAAATTGATGAGGAAATCTAGTTTGATGTGACACGTTTATACTTGTCACTTTTCTGAACTGCTCCAGACCTTTTATTTGTCATTAGCTGTCTAGAATAGGAGTGAAGGAACTCACCCATGGTGTATGCTTAGTGACCTTAAATAAATCAGTGTAGCTCTCTCTAAGGCAAAAGAGTTACGTTGATTTTTATGCTAGTTGGAGCCCTCGTAGGTGTTAATAGTGATGTCTTTCCTGAATGGATTTTGTCGTGGTTTAACCCCAGCCAGCAGCCAAGCTCCATACAGCCACTTGTTCACTCCCCCGCCAGCAGGATTAGGGAGAGAATTGTAAGGGTTAAAAGCTAGAAAAGTCATTGCTGGAGATCAAGACAATTTAATAGGGAAAGCAAAATCTACACACACAAGCAAAGCAAAACAAGGGATTAATTCACTGCTTCCCATGGGCAGGCATGTGTTCAGCACCTCCAGGAGGGCAGGACCACATCACATGTAACACTTACTTGAGAAGACAAATGCCATGACTCCAAATGTGTCCCACTTCCTCCTTCTTGCCCCCAGTATATACTGAGCATGATACCATACAGTATGCAATATCCCTTTGTACAGTTGAGGCTACCTATCTTGGCTGTGTCTCCTCCCAGTTTCCCATGCATCCCCAGTCCCCTTGCTAGTGTGGCGGTATGAAAAGCAGTAAAGGACTTGGCTCTCTGTAAGCACTGCTCAGCAATAACAAAACCATCTCTATCATCATCACTGTTCATCAAGAATCCAAAACATAGCCCCACAGTAGCCACTGTGAAGAAAACTAACTCTACGCCAGCCAAAACCAGTACAGGTTTTTGGATGCATTGCTAGCTTAGTTGTCAGAAGGATTTGTTGGGCTTTGTAAGAACAAAAGACTAGTAATATGCAGTGCACAACTGTCTCATACCAAGAAAAGAAAAGTGCTTGGGCACTATGCAGTAGGAAATTGTTTTGAGATGCAAAGTTTCTGTCATTTGGGATTTGCATTTGGCTGATCTAGTCAACTACATGAACGAAATGTTTTTTAAAGTCTTATCTTATATGTGAGACTGTGAGGACAGACAATAGCAGGTAGGTTCTAACTTAATTATGTCTTCCTGAATCTTGGTTTTATTCATGTACTTTCCTTTTCCAACTGTTTAATAACAATAGCCCTGTTGTTTATGCACTCTTTACTGGAGTTAAGAGGAAAACATCATACTTTGTAATGCTGGAAGCTGTTGGAAACTCTAAAGGCCAGCATGCTATGCTTAAGCTTGCAAGTCAGGGGTTTGCACTGAGTCTGAATGGGATCATGCATCTTGTAAACTTGTCCTGTGCTTATTGCAAAGGTGTCCTGAAAAGTTTGAAACAAGCACATGCCCTGTTTTCTCTGCCTTGAATCACGATGGAAATAACCCCCCCAAGAATACTAGGGTTTTTTGAAGATGGGTGGTTTTGTGTATTTGTATTAAGCGACTCAATGGTATTTCATTGAAACTTCCTTAATGTCACAGGAAAAATCAAAACAGTGGTGAAGATTCAGATTTAAAGCAAAGGAGAAGGTAAATATATGATCTATAGCAGCTATAAAATGATAGTGAAGGTACCAATTATATTTCAGTTCACTGCATCCCCTCCCTTCCTTCCTTTCCCCCCATCTTAAATGTATAAAAGGTTTGTTGTTTTATGCCCATTTAGTTTTTTCTTTCCTCTCTTACTTTTGCTAAAATGCACTGGGGCATAGCCTCATCACAGCATGCAGTCTTGTAAGCTACCTTGCACAGTGTTACTACACCGTGCTAGAAGCAGTTTGTGAAAGTTTCCTAAAGGCTTGTCTGCAACTTGAAAGTCAATTCCAGAAGTTTTAGCTTTTGGATTCTGAATCTGCAGCTTTGTTTTTAATTCTCCAGGCTGTCTATTTTTAATTAATGTGTTTTGAAAGCAAGTGTGCTATCATTAGAGAGGAATTGACCTGCAAAAGGTAGGTGCAAAGGCATATGTAAATTTCACAGCCTTCTCACTGTCTCACCCAATTTTTTTCTTAAACTCTTTCCACACACACACATACACATCCCCCCCCTTCAGTCTTGATTATTTGTCACATTCCAAATAAAATGCTTGTGTGAATTCAGGTGTGCCCTTCAGCAACTTCACCTTTTGACAGATTTTTGCCATATCTGCCTGTCACTTCCATGCTTCTCCTTGTTCCTGTGCACCTCCTTGTGTTGCTGAAATAAGGAGACAGTGTAGTGCATTTCAACGTCAGAGACTCAAATCTTGCAAAGGAGAGGAAGCACTCCCAGGATCTGATTCACTCAGCAGCATAGGAAAGGAGCTCTGGCAGAGATACAAACATGTCATGAACAATCACAGGATGTCAGAGAATGTGCTCACATACTTCGTACCCATTATAAGATAACAGATTATTTTTTGGAAGGATGTTATCATTACAAGCTGTCAGTGGTAGTCCTGTGGTAGATGTCCAGTGCATAAAACTGAGAAGATTTAGTTAAGCATCTCAGCTGGAAACCCCAGTGCTCAGAAAGGACCTCTTCCCAAAGGGTGTGCCTGCTATAGTACAGTACGAATGCACAGGTTTGTTATTGCATATTGCAATAGACCACTTCCACTACCTCACAATTTGGCTACTATGTTCTCATTTTAATCAGAAAAAAGATTGTGCCAGAATGTGAGCTTTCTCTGTCAACTGTTTCTCTGAAATACCAAATCCTACAACGTACCACAGCCCCCCAGGCCCTCTCCTGGACTGTCTGTTGTGTCCCTTGCCAAACTAACTATGCCTTCTCTCTTGCTCCTTGCATCAGACCATGTAGTTATACTACCTGCAAAATATCAAATATATTGCATGACTGAGAAAACAAGGGAATAAAGAATGAAAGGTACTTTGTAACTGTCAAGAGATCAGGAAGATCTCAAGTGTTCTCACACCTGACTTAGGAAACCACCTTTGTTTCCATTTTTGGTATTTTATTCAGTTCACTGAAAGCTGATGTTTAATATTCAGTGAAAGATAATATTCTGACAGAAAGTGTGAACAGCTGCCACTCACCTGACAGCTCAGCAGCCCTTCTGTCTCTCCACAAGTGCTTTCCTGACAGGGAACACAAGGTAATTTGATGTGCAGTATCCAAAAGGTGGATCAGATTTCCATTCCTGAAAAGCTAGAGAAGGGCTTATCTTGAACTTGATCAAATAGGATGTTTTATCTTGTACTTTGCTTGCCATGCTGTGATTTTTGCTGCTTTGATACCTTATGGGATAAATTGCTTAAATCACAGTAAGAAACTGCTTGTAGTACTGAGAAATGTGGAAGAGTCATGCTGATGACCTGGAAGTGTGAAAGAACAGTATTGCTCAAATGACTTATTAATGTTGAGATTCAAGATTAGTGGAGTGTTTATTAAGCATCTGATAAGACTGGGGTGGGGCAATGTATACTTCTCGATATGTAAGGTCTGCTGCAGTTCTAGGGCATTTATTGCTCTGAACTCTTTGAATATGTTTGAGTAAATTTTTTTGAGATAATTTTTAAATCTTCCTTCTTCTGTTGGGGTTACATGCAGTGAGCAAGTACTAATCAGTGGCCTCCTACCTTGTAATGAAGTGCTTCCCCTTACCTGTTACCTGCACTTAATCAACTGTCTTCACTCCTTGACTTGTTTGAGGTGTAGCTTTAACAAACCTATCCTCTTACAAAAGTCACTTATCAAAGAGCATAAGAAAATCTAGGAGGCATAAGAAAGTATGTATATCTGCCAGAATCATCAAGAGTTATCCCCTTATAGCTCCTGTTTCATGCCTGGAGACCTGTTTTCCACTGCAGCAAAACCATCACTGACTCTAGCTCCTGATGTCCTAAATCCCTCTAGACCAGATCATGTTAATATCAACCAACTTTCCTCATTAATTAGCTGGCCTTAGTGTAGCAGAGAAACATGTCTTTCTTGGAGGCACTCAGAGAGTCACAGAATCGTTTAGGTTGGAAAAGACCTTTAAGATAATCAAATTTAACCATTCAGAAACCATCATCATCAAACTAAAGAATGAATGGTCCAAACCAGATTTTGATGAGAGTGCCAGTTTTTAGGACCTGGCCCAGTGGTAAAGTAACAGAGTCTTGGTTTCTAGGACCAAATCCCTGACAGATGGTCTGTCTGCTCCAAAATGCAGTCAAGGATTTAAGGGTCTCAGATAGTACTGCCCAAGCATTTCTCTCTACTGGGAGGAGTTTGCCATGTAGGTAGTTCAGCATCAGCCTGTTCCACCAGTGTTTTTCAACAATAAATAATGAAAACCATAAATGTCACCTTACCATCTGAAGTTTTACAGTCAGAAGTAATACAGAACTGCTTTATTTCTTTTCCTTCACATGATGCACCATCTTTGTAGCTGTGCATTGGACCATCCTAAAGCTGTGCTTGTACGCACATCTGACAATCTGTGCACTTCAGACTTCTGTATTTATAGAGATCAGCAGAACCATAATGTTAGCAGTGTTTCTTCAATACAGCCTGACACTTGAAAAATATGAACTTACTGGAAGCCAGAAGGATGTTTAGGTGTATAGAAAATGACAGATCTGCAAGCATTTTTCCCCCCTGCAAAACCAGAATTACTGTATCAGTTCTATTGGGTGTACCACAATATGCAGGAAGAAAAGAGACAGAATGCATACAGTTGGAAGATAAAACATTCCACACAAACCTGTCGCTGTGCTGTATAAACAAAGAATACTGAGAGATAAAATAAAATAAATGATTAAAAAAACCCCAAAAATGAAACAGCAAAATGATTCAAACCAAAAATAGCACTCACCTGATAGTAACCCCTAGGTGTGCTCTATTTTTGAAGCAGTCCTTCCCTATTAATAAATGAGAAAATGATAATATGACTTGCAGGTGTAGACAAGCCCCCTAAAGTCTTTTACTTCTGATTTTCCTAGTAATATCCTTGCAGTGTTGTTCTTTCCTTGTTTAGCTCTGCAGTAATTCTGATGTTACTAAATGGTTCATCTTGAGATGTTGCTTTTCTCTTCTTCAGATCACGGTCTCGCTGCAACACCAGCAGTGGCAGTGAATCAGAAAATTCCAACAGAGAACATCGGAAGAAGAGAAACAGGTGACCATTATATATTTTAGACACAGAGACATGAAACAGAAACATATGAAGGTGGACTTTTCTCAGATAAACCTAGTAGGAAGTAATCTAACATGGTCTATATGTATAGAGTCCTGAGGCATCTTAAGGTCCTCTTCTGAATAAAAAGAGTGATAATTGCTGAAACACATGCTTCATAGGTGTATGCAATAAATGCATACCCTCCTTTTGCTTGGGAAGAACTTGGTAATGAACCACAAAGTCAAATATGGGCTACATTTACAAAATACTTGCAATATAAATTCTAATAAAGTGGATAATATCTTGATAACAAGATATTCTCAGCACATAATTCAATACTTCATAAATTCAAGTGCAGATTTATCAGAATATAAGTGTTTGAGAACCTTAAAAATATTTTTAAAGTATCTGAAAATCACTGTTGTTTTTCAGTGCATGCATCTAATTGTCTAACAATTTTTATTTTCCAAAATGTCAAGTGTAGGCCTAAACTGAAAACGTGTACAGCATCCACTTTTAATAGTACAACAGTAGCTCATATCAAGTGATGCTAACAAGTCCTGTTTTATGTATCTTATTTTTCTTGCTGACATGAAAGAGACAGCATAACAACTGATTTCCTTTAAATTCCTTTTAAAACTGTATCATTTATGTTGCACTGGAGATAACAGCATTTGAAAGTTATTTACAAAAATATATGTTTAAAAAGAACATAGAATTTCTTCGTATTTGTGGTGGGTTGACTCTGGTTGAATGCCATGTGCCCACCAAAGCTACTGCTCACCATGCAAGTGGACAGAGGAGAGAAAATATAAAAAGTTCCTGAGTGAGGTAGAAAATAAAAGAAAGGTTCCTGAGTTGAGATAAGGACTGGGGGAGATGACTCACCAAATACCATCACAGGCAAAACAGACTCAAATTGGGGAAATTAAGTGAACTTATTACCAAGAAAATCAGAGCAGGATAATGAAAAGTAAAACAAATCTTAAAATACACCTTCCTCCCACCTCTCCCTCCTTTCCAGGATCTGTTTCCTCCTTGCCAGTGGCACAAGAAGATGGGGATGACGGGGAGGGTGAGTTATGGTTGGTTCATCTCTGGTTGTTTCTCCCAATGCTGGGGGAGAGGAGTCTTCTCCTGCTCCAGTGTGAGGTCCCTCCCATGGGAGACAGCACTCCATGAACTTCTCCAACATGAGTCCTTCCACAGGCTACAGTTCTTTATCAATTGCTCCAGCATGGGTCATTTTTCCATGTGGTGCAGTCCCTCAGGAACAGCTTGCTCCAGTGCAGGTCCACCATGAGGTCACAAGTCCTACCAGGAAAACTGCTCTAGTGTGCGCTTCTTTCTCCATGAGTCTGCAGGTCCTTGCCAGGAGCCTGGTCCAGCACAGGCTTCCCACAGCCTAATGGCCTTCTTTCAGGCATCCACCTGCTCCAGCATGGGCATCCCCCATGGGCTACAGGTGGATCTCTGCACCCCCATTGACCTCCATGGGCTGCAAGGGGACAGCTGCTTCACCATGGTCTTCACCATGGTCTTCAGGGGAATATTTGCTCTGGTGCCTAGAGCACTTCCTCCCCTCTTCCCCACTGGCCTTGGTGTCTGCATAGTTGTTCCTCTCACATACTCTCACTTCTCTTTTCTCAGGTCAAAATTACATCTATGCAATAACTTTTCTTTCCTTCTTAAATATGTCATCACAGAGGTGCTACTACCATCACTGGTTTGCTTGACTTTGATCAGCAGTGGGTTCATGCTGGAGCCACTGGCATTGGCTCTGCCATGGAGGAAGCTTCTAGCAGCTTCTCACAGAAGCCACCCCAGTAGCCCCACTGATACCACAGCCTGGCCACACAAACCCAGTGCAATATTGCACGAATACAGCATAAGAGAAATGTCACTGGACAAAAAAGGAATTGTTGGAGGCAAATTTTCTGCAAAGCTTTCTGCATGAACTGCCATTGTTTCTTCTTGCCTTATATGCAGTACTGTCAGTGATAAATGATTTTCAGGTATTTGGAATCCCTTATAAATAATTATATGCTAGATAGTGCTGCAGGAGCATGCAGTTTAATAATAATTTATGTGTGACCTGCAGTAGTTAAAGAGATGATAAAAAAGATCATTATGGCACTCAAATGGACTCATATACAGTGTACCTAAGATTTCTTTGGCGTTTACTCAAATTAGAGCACATTCATGTGAGATACTTGGCTAACAATAACCTAGTGTGCATGGAAGATTTGTTTTCCAGGTGAGCTCTGCAGTTCGAATGAAATGCGGAGTGTAGTTTCAGTGATCAGTAGCAAATGGTATTTTGTATCCCCTTCTCATAGAACAATCTTGCCAGGCTTTGTTTTTCTTCCAGTGAAACTCCCTTGTGTAGGGAGCTCCACATGCAAGTGAAAGAAATTAGAGATTGACCACAAGAATGTTTTTAAGAACTTCTTGCAATATTGAACTGTAGGAAGGATTAAGTACTATTTATAATTTTTTGAAGAATGCAAGGCCCTTTCCCAACACTCTCTCACCTCATGAAAAAATATTTAAGAATTAAGAAAAGATAAATTTGTGTGGATTGTTTCTAAGTTTTTCACATTTTCAAAAATGTAAGATAGAGCAAAATTGTTGATGTTGCAGCATCTCTTGCTCTTAGCTCATCATTTGAAATCAGACCAGGTAAAAAGTAATTATCAGTGTTAAAGTAACCAAGTACTAAATGAGCTAGAAGTCTGAGACTTGTTCCTTGTGAGCAGTTGCAGGAAAACAACCAGTCATTATGAATTTCTGCATTTTGTTAGCAGCCACAGCAGGAAAATAACAAGCTGAAAGAGCAGAGGCACTGAATAGCTTTCCTGTTAGCAGAGGTGGGCCAGCCCTAAGAGGGTTAAATAGGACATTATAATGAGGCTTGCAACTGCTGTTACTTGAGTTTTATCTGTTGCATAGATTAATATAATTAATTTCCCAGTACCATAATCAGGTCCCTGGCACACACAAAAATGAAGCTGTTTTATTTTATTGGAATAAAATGACTGAATAATTGCCTGCAAAAAAATCTGCAGGCAAACCCAGAAACGCAGTTGATAACTTCTGAAGGTACAACACTGGAAAAATGTTAGGGATAAATTCTTTACTTGACCTCGATCCATCTTAGAGATTTCACTCCATCATATGGATATTTTATCCTAAGCAGATATTCTTACAAAACTGAAGAAGAACCTATGATGAGCATATTTCAGTCACAGAAGAAATGCATTTGCTTTTTTAATGCTGTGGTCAAAATTTGTTGTGTAGGTAAAAATATATTAAAAGTAGTATGTGCACCAAAGCATAGTTTCCTGCTTGACTACACTTAGAAGATCCAACTGATTAGAATCACCAAGTGACTGAATGGTTAAGGCCGCGAGGCACCTCTGGATGTCATCTGGTCTAACCACCTGCTCAAGCAGGACCTTCTAGAGCTGTATGGCCAGGATCATTCCCACATGGCTTTTGAGTATCTCCAAGGAGGGAAACTCCATCCTCTTCCTGAGCAGCCTGTGTCAGTGCTCAGTCACCCTCAGAGGGACAAAGACTTTACTGATGTCCAAGAGGAACCTCCTGTGTTTCAGTTTGTGCCTGCCATCCCTGGTCATGTCACTAGGCACCACCTAAATGAGCCTGGATCTGTCCTCTCTGCACCTTCCCTTGAGGTGTTTATATTTAATTGGTGAGATCCCCCTGAGGCTCTTCCCCAGGCTGAACAGTCCCAGTTGTCTCTACTTTTCCTCGTGTGAGAGGTTCCTTCATCATCTTGGTGCCCCTTTGCAGGACTCTCTAGTATGTCCATATCTGTCTCGTCTGGATAGCTCAGTGTTGGACCCAAGACTCCAGGTATGGCCTCATCAGTGCTGAGTAGAGGGGAAGGATCGCTTCCTGTGATCTGCTGTCAGTAATTTTCTCTATACAGGCCATGATACAATACAGCTTCTTTGTTGCAAGCACATGTTGCTGGCTGGAGTTCAATTCAGTGTCTGGTGGGACCCCAAGCAAAGCTGCTTTCCATCCAGGCTCTTCTTGTTGCCTTTAACATCTTCGGTGGGATTTGATTTCATTTTAGCTTTGGCTTTCTTAACTTCATCCCTACATGCTCAGACAATGTTTCTATATTCTTCCCACCTTCCCTGCCCCTGGTTTCACCCTCTGTAGGTCTCCTTTTCATGTTTGAGTTTTGCCAGAAGCTTATTGTTATCCATGCAGGACTCCTGGCGATTTTGCCTTGCTTCTGACTCACTGGGATGGGATGGCTGTTGAGCTTGGCAGAGGTCATCCTCGAATACTAACCAGCTTTTTTGGGCCCTTTTTACCTCCAGAGCCTTATTCTATAGGATCTTTGTAGAGGCTAGAGCCTCCTCTTTTGAAGTCCAGTGACATGATCTTGCTTTTTGCCCTCCTCTCAGGGTCCTGAATTCCACCATCTCTTGGTCACTGTAGCCAAGGCTGCCTTTGACTTTCACAGCCCCAATAAGCCCCTCATTGCTGCCCATTTTACCTAAATGACAAATTCATGCTTCAATATTTTGAATGAGGTTTCAAGAATCAAACCTTCAGAGTTGCTTAAGAGAATTTTTCATTGCATAAATATATCTTGTGATATCACCTGAAATGGGAAAAACCCTCCATTTCTAAGACAACAGATGAGTGATGATAGTCATATGACTTTCCATTTTACCATCAAGTCTTCCTGCAAATAATTCCTAATTTGTCACTTTGGTAGCTATTAATCTCAACTGGACTCACATGCCAGTAGCATGTGAAATACATTACTGGCATAACATATTTTCATATAGGCACAAATCATGTAGTTCCTTTGTGGGATCAAATATTGAAAAGAATTAAAGGCAGGTTGTAATAGGCTTTGAGTACAAGAGCATCACTTTTATTCAGAAGTATCTTTAAATATAAATTTAGGCTTTGAGTTCTTCAGCTTTTTTTTTTCAGTTTGTGTAGCCAAAAATCTAAACACATTGCTCCAAAATTACTAGAATTTGATGTTTGCTACTAAATAATGTATTTTATGTAGAGACTGTGTTACTTTAGTCATCCTTTGCATCATTAAATGTGAGCAGGGTACCTTTCTTTGCAGCTGCAAAATGGATATTTTGTTTCTCCATGTCTTCATCTAGTAGAATTCTGCTGTGGTGCAATGGTACTTCAGGTGTGCTTATTTCAACAGCTGCTATGCTACTTTATGCATTTAGATTTCCAGTATTTTGCTGAAAGAGAGAAATAATGGTGATGAACACTGTTGTATGGTTCAACAAGTAGAAGAAAGGAGGCAGTGTAGAAATATGAAGTACTTGGGGATAAATGAATATATTACTAAGGACTGTGCTTGCCATGCAGCACTAGATGCTGACCTACTAGATAAGTAGAACAAACCTGAGCAGCAATGATGTGGAACTCCACAGCAAGAGGTCATTCCTGCAAAGTGTGGAAGTGTGGCTTCAAACACAGGTGCAGCATCTCATGGGCTCTGTGCTGGAGTATGGACCTCATGCTCTCACACGTCATGTGTGTTTTCTGAGAGGAAAGTAGCTCTCAGCTATTTTACCACAAGCGTCCCAATGTCTCCTTCAGAGCACAGCTGTCTACTTGACCTGTTAGGACTTGGTGCTTGGAAGAGACGGCAGACCCACCAATGATGGCAGGAATACTGGTCTGGCAACTGCAGATTGTGTTTTTGTGCAAGGGTCTGCTGTATGTGGGAGGCAGTTGGTTGCATTTATACCATATGGGATAATTGCTGTCCCCACAAATTGGATTATTTGGGATGAAAATCACAATTCATTACTTGTTGCTGTGTGAGTTCTTCTACTAAATCCTTAGATAGAAGTTTATGTTAATACCTGTCACCAGATTAAAGATTTAAAAAGATTTGCTTAGAAATCAAAACCTGAGTTTGCAGTCTTCTCCAGATGCTTTGTACCATTTGGTAGAGTTGTGGCTGTTTACAATAGTTGGGGATCCAGCTCACAATTCATTATGCATGTGAGAGTAGATCTGAGTAAAGGAAAAACAGCAGCCTGCATAGCCAGTTTAGCCTGATACAACTCAAAACTCAAAGAGAAAAGTACATCTCTAGTGAAGACCAGCAACATGCTTTGCATTTCTTATGTCTCCAGTGTAATCCCTTGATCTCTGTTAGCATCTTTGTTTTACCTGTCAATCTTGCCATTTTTTGTTAGGCTCCTCTGGTTTCTTCAGTATGCCAGTTGTACTATCCTATCAGATACCCACTCTTGGGTGATATTTTCCAAGGTTGTTTCAAAATCCCTCCTGAATTTTAAATTCACTGCTGGGACTAAGCATATTGATTTGTTCCATCCTACCACTTCATCCCACCACTCATATATGCAACCCCAAAACTGTGAGAAGCATCTGTGGAACTTTGAATGGTCAAATGCTGGCTTACTGGCTAGCCTGGCTGGTTGCAGCACTGCAGATTTTCTTCAGCCTGCTGACAAACATGCTGAGTTGATTGAATTTTGACATTTGATTCAATCTGTAATGCATTCCAATAATGAATTCATGGATTAAACATTAAAAAAAAATAAAAAAAGAAACAGAAACATAAAGGAAAAAGAGAAGAAGAAATAAAAGGCATAGCATATTGTTTAGACACACACAAGAACAGACAGCAACCAAAGCCTCGGGGGATGGTGCAGGGTAGGAGAGCTATGGAGATCTGCATGCATCCTGGGCTTTGTTGCAGGTCAGGATGAAGAGATCACTTCTTCTGCATGGGAACTCACCAAGGGCATCCATGGGGGATTTTCCCTGGATCCTTGGAAGGTGCATCCTGCAGCAAAGTATTTGGAAAAGTTGCAGTAGTAGAGCCTCATATCGTGATGTGAGCCTTCCACTTGCTGTAAATTAGGTGAATTGGAATATGTAAACAGGGAAAAATTCTAGATATTTGGCTTGGACTGGGAAGAAGAATTCAAGTCATGGGGCTGTTCTTAAAGGCTTGGATCATTCCTTTTTTGGCTTACGCTGTTTCTAAATAACAAATCAGTGAGTTTTCTTTTATATAGTTCTTACATTTTAATGTAGTTTAGAACCTTTAATTAAAATTTAGCAAGACAAAAAGTACTGCATGGAAGGAGATGACTTTTTCTGGGAAAAAGATTTAGCCCATTGCTTCTCAGAACAACCTGCATCAGAGACCTCTGACTAACCTCCTGGTGCTTCTTTTGCAGATTACGGCAAGAGAACGATATGGTTGACTCGGCTCCTCAGTGGGAAGCCGTGCTGCGGCGCCAAAAGGGGAAAAACCAGCCAGATCCAAACTACCGGCGATCCAGGCACAGATCTCGATCGTATGTAACCCTTGCACTCTTTGATGTGAAAATTAAGGCTGCTGTAGCATAGTAAAAAGCAGGAGGAGTATCTCCAGTGTGGTGGTGGCCCTCAGCTGTCAATGAACAGAGATTTTTACATGGCATGCTCTCACATTAGCAGATTTGTATTTGTGGTCAAACTGCCTCTGTTTAGTGATTTGAATTTCAGGGCACAAATAATGCAGGAAGCTGTTGTGGTTTAACCCCAGCCAGCCACCAAACACCACGCAGCCGCTTGCTCACTCCCCCAGCAGAAATAAAGACAGTTTAATAGAGAAAG